TTTCGGGAACAGGCTATTCTTAGCCTGTYCCCCATGCCAGCCTCAGCAGCTGCCGCAGCGCCAGCCCCTGGCACACTTCAGCATTGGCAAGAGCAGCCTCCTCATCCTGGCTCGCCCTTCAGGCAGTCAGGAGGCAGGCCGAGGTAGTACATAGGGATTTCCCATGCACTTCACGGGTAGGCAGGAGGCAGTAGTAGTCTTCAGGATTCGGCAGCAGCACTCTGGAGGGAGCGCTGCAGGAGTAGTAGTAGTGTTAGCCTTAGTCTTCAGCGCTGGGCGCAGTAGGTAGCTGTAGTCTCCAGCACTGGGAGCCATAGCTAGGACAGCACTAGAGAGAGAGAGAGATTGGGCGGAGGCCAGAGGTACTTACCTGCAGCGCCGTTGCTCCAGCTTCGTCTTCGAGGTACCTGCAGCACAACGCCAACATCACAGGTTAGTATCTGGCTCATAACAGAGAGAGAGAGAGTTCTTCTTCTTCCCCTTCTCAGTCCACCAGCTCCTTCTCCCCCTCTCATCATCTGACTTCACTGCATCTGCAGACTACGAGAGAAGAGAGAAAGAGCTTGGTGACGTCTTATCCAGACTCGACTTTTGGACTTCAGACATTGCAACGAGGGATTATTTGGGACTTGTGACAAAAACTTGGTGTTGACGACATTCCCATCGCTCTCCTTCCTTTCGTCTGATTCCCTCCTCTTCGTCTGTGTATGTCTGGACCTGGCGCTTTCTTCCTGTGTACAGCGCCAGGCTCCTTCACACCTGGTGATGGATACGATGTATGTTTGGACTGCGTTCAAACATTGATTGGGCTAGTCATTAGCATTCTAGCATTCTGCTTCGCTATCTGAAACTATGTGAATGAGGTCAGTCCCGGTCAGGTCAGGCTTTGTATCTACGTCTTCCCTGCGCTATTCAGCACCATTTTGTATGTATTAGAATGCACATTGCTTGTTGAGATTCTACTTGCACTGCATTGTCCATTCATTCCTTTTCATCACATTGCGGATCCTCGGTTTCTATGTACATCGCCCAACTGGGCATGTAACAGTTGGTATCGGTGCACCGCACATGAATCAGGACAACCTGATCTGGCATGTGTGCCGGGACTAGGTAGCTGATTAGTCTTTATTGATAGATTAGAGCACACTAGTTAGCCCCCAAAATCACGATTTTGACCTTACTACCGAAAATCGAAATTTTATTTTCTTTTCTTGGATTTTGTTTTCTCGCTATTCTGTTGTGGAAAATCGCAATAGCGCAACATCTGAAATTTCCATTTTCGTTTTTCTTTTGAAAATTCAAAAATTCGTTGTTGAAATCCGGAATATCCTTCTTTTCGAAAATTTCGATTTCTTGTTGCATTTCCTGTTATTCAGAAATTCGAAATACCTTCTTTTTTCGAAATTCGTTTTTCTGAAAACGGTACAGGAAATCCCTCCTGCAGGTATTATTTTCCAAACGGCGAATATTCTCATCTGACAAAATCCGAATACTTGTCATTTCTTTTCGGATTTTTTTTTCGCAGTTCTAGGATTCTGGTAGTCAGTTCTATGAATCATTTGCAGTCTGAAGTCGAAATGTTTTTCTCTCATTGATCATTTCGAACTTCAAGGGAGGCCGGGAGACCTACTGAACTTGCAAAAGTTGGGATTTTTATTTTTTCAAAATTTTTTGCAAAGTTCAAACTTTTCTTTTTTGATTAGTGGCTCCTTATTTGGGCGATTCTTCCCACCCACCCTCCCCATCTATGTTGTTGCCCCCTCTGGCCTTACCTTCTCTACCTACCGCCAGGTACCCCCTGCGACGGCATTGGTGAGTTGCCACGTCAGCAGGCCATGTCAGCAGGACACGCCAGCAGACCACGTCAGCAGGCCACGTCAGCAGGCCACGTCAGCAGGACACGTCAGCAGGCCACATCAGCCGACAGAGCAGGAAATACCACATCAGCAGGCCCCCGGCCTGGTCTATGCTGTTGTGCTCACATACAGCCGTCATGGACCAGAGGTCCGGAGAAGCAGAGGAGGCCTATCAGGCCCGGATGCTGGCTTGGAGTACCGAAACAAAGAAACGGGCAGATGACGCAGCAGCAGCAGCGAAGAAGAAGGCAGAGGATGCCGAGTAGGCACGTCTGCTGGCACTTGAACAACAGCGCCAGCATGACGAGGCAGCAGCAAGGGCTGCCGATGAAGAAAGAAACCAACGTCGTGAGAAGATATTTAGCGGAGAGCAGACTTTGCTCACAATGGCAGCGGCATGGTGGACCGAGGCCGAGAATGGCAAGTTGGAGGATTGTGAAAACAAGATCGCACTCCTCTCGCATCTCACTGACCTCCTGGCAACCTGCATAACACAGCAGGAGGAGATCCACAGCCCCGACGACTCGCTAGCTCAAGTTCAAGGCCGCCTTCAGCAGCTGGAGCAGCGACCGGTCGCCGCCCCCGATGCAAGCTCTTCCAATACCTCTGATCGCCTCGAAGCATTGGAGATGGACGTCGGCTCCCTCAAAGACGGCGTGCAGTTACAGCAGACCACAACGCAACAGTTGCAACAGCAGATTTGTACCACCGCCAATATCTCAAGTTTGGAACCGCGCGAAACAACTCCAAAGTTTGACGGGCAAGAAATCTTTTGCGACTCGACGAAGACAGATCCAGTTCCATGGTTCCGCAAGTTCGAGCTCACGCTACAGCTACACAACGTCAAAGAACACAAGCACCACGCATACTTATACTCTCGCTCAGGGGGCGCGTGCCAGGCTTGGTTGGACAACCTCTTGTCCAAGTACGGAGTGGTAGCTAACGACTTGCACACCAAGATCAGCAGGGATGATCTGAAGGCGGTGTGGCACAAGCGGTTCCAAGTCAAGCCGCCCGAGATCAAGGCTATGGACAAGCTCATGGTCTTGGAACAAGGCACGCTGCCGAGTACCAACGCTTGACGTCAGTCCCAGACATCCAGATGGGCTTCAAAGCCATCCGCCACTATTTTATCTCAAGGTCCTGTCCGACATTAAGTAATGCCCTGACTCACGTCAAGGACACCTTGACGACAACGGCGAAACTTTTTGACAAGGCCGCGCAGATCATCATTACGAACAAGGAGGCGAAGAATCTGCGTTCGTCTGCGGCAGGCCCGAGCAGGGACCAGCATCAGCCAAGAGTGGCCGTGGTCGCAGCGGCAACGCCGTTGGACGAAACCAGCGAGGTCGTGTCTGCCCATGAAGGAGACAGACTCGCAGCCGCCCGGCAAGGTGGCCGCCCCGACAAAGGCCGAGGACGCGGCAAGACGAAGACACACACCGCATCTAGCCCCGGGCCCGATGAAGACACACACCACATCTAGCCCCGCGATCAGTTTCCTTCTCGACGCTCAGTGCTGCCCCCAACCATGGATGGAGAGGTGGACATAGACGACATCGTGGATCACAGGGAGCTGGCCGTTCCAAGACCGACAGGCAGGGGACGTCCTCAAAAACCAAAGCTGCAGTACCGAGTTCGGTTCCGACATCATCTGGATCCAAAGGAGGACCGCTGGTTCACTAGGGAGGAACTCATGCAGACCGCTCCTCAGATCGTAGCTCAATATGAGAAATCTCTGCAGAAGGGAAAGCGCCAGATCATCGAAGACTGAACTTCTCAGAGGAGTAGCGAAGTTATGGAGGAGGGAATGCAAGGCTTATGCCCCTATGAGCCCCTTTTTGGCCTTGCCAAGTATCACGTCGGCCGCCCTAAGTGAAGGCAGGCACGACGAGGGCCTGAGGGCCCCTATTTCGGTCACCACGAACTCAAGGAAATTCAGGCAGTTGCGCAGCGCCACTTGGTTGAGAGAACCCAGGCCCTGGGCCGCCTATGTGAATGTATGGAAAGCAGGCCCTGGGCTGGATACGGGTACTGGGCCAAACACAGGCCAAAGGCAGTTGGGTACATGCAACCACCTCAGGCCCAAGGCCTGTTCTCATTCGTGCTGGGCCTCAGGCTACCGGGGCCTAYTGGAAGCTTCCTGGGACTGAACGCAGGCAGGCCACTTCGATATAGCAAAGGGCCTGCCTCCACATTGGTCATTCGGGTGCTGGCTGCATGCTGCGCAAGCGCTGCTGCGCTGAAGCTCGCTGGCACTCACGCGCTCACGGGCGAGCAGGAAGGAGCAGGCACCCATAGCCGAGCTGCGCTGCTGTAARCTGGGTGTGGCGCAGGGTGGTCCTTGCGTGCAAGTGGCATCTGTGTGTTGGGGAACGAGGTTGTGAGTGAGGCGAGAGACATACCTGGTGCTGGAAGCGTGCGACATTGGTCGCTGTATGCTCGTAYTTYGGGAAAGCTGTTGACGTCATCATTCRGCATTGTAGTCTAGGCTAGATAGGATCTGCCATCTGTAGTCTGGGCGCCGAGCGCCAGATAGGATATCAACATTGGTTCTTCATTGATGATGATGAGACTTTTCCAGCATTGTCAATTATGAGCTCTTGGTGTCTTCTTATTTGGTGAAACTCGTGATGCAATTCTGCTGTTGGTTCGAGGTCACGACTATCTGGTCTTGTGTATATGATGCTGTATAGGACCATTGATAGTCTGGCACCCTGCCAGACTATCTGATGTATCTCAACATAAAGTGCCGTCAAAGATTCAAAATACATCCGAGGGTCCAAAAAAAAAATAAAAAAAAATCGGGCACAATCAGATAATCTGGCGTCCCCAGGACACCAGACTACCACTAGTCTGACATTGTGGGGACGCAAAAGATTGTTAAAAACATTGCACTTTGTTTCGGAAGCCCAATTTCGTTAAAATTTAAAACAATGTCAGTTTTAACTAAATGCCAGTAAATGGCTATTAAATCGCATGCAATACTACAAATTAGATCATCCAGAAATAAAAAACGTGTACCAATGATGGACAAGTTATAATACAAATTATCCAATTCCCTTCAATATTGACGAGCCCATGAGAAACACCAGTAGAGTGTGCACACGAAGTTGCAGGTCATCACAGTAAGTAGAATCTTACCTCATTCATTTCCTTCACGACAATATAATTTTTTGCAAAGGACTTGGTTGCCACCGTCTCTTCATGCCCATACTTCCCATGGATCACCGAGGTGTAGTCGCTCTTCTTCTGTTTCTCTACGGCATTCCAAACCTGTGTGCAAGACAATGGAACCCAACTCAAGTAGACAGATTAATCATTTACAATTTGATCAAATGATTCACAATTCAAATCATTTATGAAAATGTTGATTGATGTTTGCAGCGGTTGAGGAGACAAATTATCATTCGCCACATATGACAACAAGGAAAGAAGTTCAACGAACAATGAAAACCGACCAAGCAACATTCTTCGGGAAAGCAACCATCACGACAGTCAGCAGTCCCTGCTGCTTAAACCACCAGTTCACACGATGCTAAAAATTTGACGAACCAAAAGAAAGTTGCACGCTTCCGAGCCAGACTGCTACATACAGTAACAGGCTGAAAAGAAAAATCTTGGGGTACTGGTACCACCAGCCTACCATGAAACTCAAGTGATGTACCTACCTCGTGCCAGCAAATGGCACCCAAAA